AATTAATTAAGTACACGTGTCCCCAAAGTTACTTATTTATTAGGTATATAGATGTTATAAATTAATTAACTTTATGTTATTATTAATTAATAAGGTATTAGTATTCTTTTAATAACTACATAAATTAATTAAATTCACATTATTATTAATTAATTAAGTACTAAGAGTACAAGGTCAGCTTGAATTTTTTTTTTCCTGGGTAATATTGCTTTGTGAAAAATGCTTCAAAAATGCGAATTTGAAATTTTAAACCCGGTTTTGATGACCACTCCAAAGTTAAATTCAGACTTAAATTTTTCTAGAGTTATGTTGTAAGTCTAGGAGCCGTAAGTGAAAATTGTGTTTTAGGAGGAAAAAATTAATAACCGTCGCACAGAAACGTGACACGTGTCCCCAAAGTTACTTATATATTAGTACTATACATATGCATGTATATAAATTAATTAACTTGCAAGTCTTTTTGATTCTTCTATCAATTTTGTCGAGATTTCTCCTCCTTCAGTTTCCTTTTCATCTTCAGCGAGATCACCATTAATCACCAGACGAGTCTATCTACACGATGGTTATTCTCTTTCCACTTCCAAGCCTTTTCTTCCTCAAACACAACGTCACGATTAATCACCAGCTTTTGTGTTGTTGGATTGTATAACCTGTATCCCTTGGAATGATCACTCAAGCCAAGAAGCACACAACAAATGCTTTTGTCGTCTAGTTTCTTGCTTTCTTTATCTGGAACATGCATATGAGCTATACATCCAAAAACCCTAAAATAATCAACGTTAGGCTTTACCACACTTCACATTTCCTCAGGCGTCCTTTCTTTTTCGACAGAGACCGGACTTCTGTTCAAAACATGCATTGTCCATTTTGCAGCTTCAGGCCTAAAACGTTTTGGAACATCCCTGCAATCCAAAACACAACGTACCATATTCATTATCGTCCGATTCTTTCTTTCGGCTACTCCATTTTGTTGTGGAGTGTAAGCTGTAGTAAGTTGCCTGGTAATCCCCGTTTCCTTGCAAAATAAGTTGAATTCGTGGGAATTGAGTTCACCTCCTCTATCCGTATGTAAGCACCATATGACTGAACCCGACTCCTTTTCTGCTTGATTCTTGAAGTTCTTGAAGTGTGTAAATGTCTCAGACTTGTCTTCCAGAAAATATATCCATACCTTCCTGCTATAATCAGCAATAAACGTCAAGATATATTTCTTACCGCTGTTGGAATTTGGACAGATCGACCCGCATAAGTTAGAGTGCACCAGTTGTAGTTATTTTGAAGCACACCATTGACTTTTCTTTGGGAAAGACCCCCTGTGTTGCTTCCCAACTAAACAACTCTTGCATATTTTCAGATAGCCTCTCCACATTGGCAATCCTTTCACCATATTTATGAATTTTAAGGTTCTCAGCCCCTTGTAGTTAAGATGCCCATATCTTTGATGCCAAAGTTGTGTTTCTTCCTCTATTGACACCTGCATGCACTTTGGTTGAGCTGCTACAACAACTTGTACCTTAGCGGATAGAGGAAACATCCTGTTTGCTGTCATCTGTGTTTAGGCAATTAGACCCCTCGTTGGATGAAATATCTTGCAAGTTCCACGTTATATGAGAATGGATAGGCCTCGTTCTTGAAACTGGCCAAGACTGAGTAAGTTGCTCCTCAGTTCCGGCACCCGGTAGACATTTGTCACAACATGAATCATGCCTCCAAATGATAGGCACACACTTCCTCTGCCCATGACCTTGATACAAATGTTGTTTCTAGGTTTCACAGAGTGATTGTATGTTTCATCAAGATTCATAAACCAAGCTTTCTCACCACACATATGATTACTACAAACCTGAATCCAGAAACCATACCTTGTCCTTCATTTCATTGTTTGTCTCGACAGACGGCATAAGTAGCATTTCATCTTCTTCGGGATCTTCTACATAGTTTGCTTTCTTATCCCAGTTAGGACACTCGTATTGGAAGTGCCCTAATTGGTGATGATGGAAGCATTCGACAATAGCTCTATTGATGAATCTTCCTTGGCCTCTACCTTTTCCTCGACTTGTGCTCCCTCGTCCTCTGCCTCATCTTTTATTATAAGTGATCTTCAACACTTGTTCTTCGATTCCTGTCGTACTCTTCTTAAACTTCTGATCATGCACAAGCAAAGAGCTTTGTAAAACATCAACGGTGAGAGTATCGATATCCTTCGACTCCTCAATGGAACAAACAATGTAATTGAAGTTCTCATTGAGGGTCCGTAGGATTTTTTCCACTATCTTCACATCCAACATGTCTTCTCCACAATTCCTCATGTCGTTTGCCATGACCATTACCCTTTTGAAGTAGTTCGTTACTGATTTCCCCATCTTCATCTCTAGCAGCTCAAAGTTTCTCCTTAAGGTTTGTAGTTGCGCACGCTGAACCCTAGCATTCCCTTGGTACTTTGTTTTCATGGAATCCCACAATTGCTTGGATGTCTCCTTCTACGTAATCGTCTTCAAAATGGTTTTGTCGATAGAGTTGGACAAATAATTTTTGGCCTTGAGATCTTTCATCACTGCTTCATCCAGGGCCGTCTGTTGCATAGCGGTAATGGTTGCACCAATGGGTGGCATAACAAAGCCTTTTTGTACTACACTCCAATACTCTTTTGATCTTAGAAGGTTTTCCATGATCAAACTCCAGTGATCATAGTCTCCGTCAAAATTACTAATGCTTGGTTGCCCAGTACTACTCCCTTCCGCCATCTTCTCTCAGATTGCTTGCACTCGTACTCTTTTCTCTCATACAGGTCAGGCCCTTTTTTTAAAAGCTTTGATACAAGAATTTGTTAGTCTAAAGTAGTTTCATAGAGGTTTGGGAAATACTTTGATAAGATTCAATGAAAGCTTTGGCCTTTAAATAGCCATACAACCTATGGAAGCAACAAACCACTACTCCACTAATAGAGCCTAATGAGTTGAAAAAGGAAACAGAAAAACAAGAACATGACTTGATCTACGAAAATGATTCCTAATAACAAGAAACTTATTTGACCTACTAATAACAATAAAATACTAATTCAAAACCCAACAACCAGGCCTGTAAACAGAATTAGAAAATATGATTATGGATGGAACTAGAGAATGAGCTGGAGGATCGTACACTATCGTATATTCATACTGTTCAATCAGTAGATAGGCGACCATGCATACTATATTATGTACCAGTCAGTATTTTAATTAGAACAAAGCTATAGAACCTAGTATTTTTTTTGGGGAAAAGGGGACGGAACCCCAGGAAAATTTTATTCAAAATAAAAAGAAATTACACGACAGAAATGGGCATACCCATTTTACAAGAAAAAAGAACGACCACCTAAAAAGTGTTTAGGAAAAACCACCAATAAAGGTCTAAACAAATGATGAAAATTCAAGAGTAAAGCCCAAAGAATAGTATGCTATAAGTAGTAACTTCTCCAATCAACAGCGCAACTCACAAAGAAGACCCAATTCATCATTTTGATGTTCCCCTTGTTCACCAGCCGGCCCAAGCAACTAACACAAGAATAGAGAGGGCCAAATCGGCCCGGCCCGGGACCGCCAGAGGACCGGGACCGACAAAGGACCGGCCCGGGACCGGGACCGGTAAGGACCGGTTATGGGACTGAAAACCGGGACCGGTTGAGGTTTTTGGTAGTTTTGTGGGACCGGGACTGACCGGGACCGTTATGGGACCGACTATGAACCGGCCCGGCCCGGCCCGAAAATTCAAATAATWTTATAAATAAATGTATTTTTAAATAATTTTATAATGTATTTTTAAAAGAAAACGTAATTTTAATTATATTAAAACACATTTTTAAAGTATATTTGAGTGACCCAATTGTACATTTTATAATGTATTAAAAATATATATCATTAAAAAAATCAAAAAAAAATCTTATTTTTTTAATGCGAGGACCGGGACCGGCGGCCCATAACCGGTTATGAAGTACCTATACCGGTCCTATCATTTTCGACCGAGACCGGTTACACCGGGACCGGTTATGGCCTGTTTTAAGAAATGTGAGGACCGATTGGGACCGGCCCGGGACCTGTTTTTGGCTATCTCTGCACAAGAACCAAATAATTCACAGCCCATTGGATATTAAGGTAATATAGAGGACATGGCCCAAATCCTCATAGTAGCGACAAAGATTATGGGCCCAATACTTCATACTCCAATCCACTCCATTGAGGTAGCCCAATTGATGAACAAAAGCATGGGAAATAGGGGCTTTCCCTTTCCCGATCCAGGTCGTAGCAATGGCGAAATCAAGGTAATTTAAATCAGTTCCCACCTCAAACCTCATCAACACAGCCTCGACAAATCCGAATCCGCCAATGATGTTGAAGCTGCAAAAACTCCATAGAAATCGATCCACACAGCAGTAAGTGGAAACCCTAATTTTCAAAAAAATACCCAAAGCTCCAAGCATCCCCTTATTCCAAATCGGCCATCGATTAAAATCGATGGACGCAATTTCCAATCCAGCTCTATCGATGTCCATTGATGCACAAATCTCACAAATTCTATGCCATCGATTAAAACACCCTAGTTCCATCTATGCTCATTGTTATAAAGCCATCGCCTTTTAGCACCACATTGAACTTGAAGCGGAAATTCAAATTCAGAAAGGCATTTGGATGGGCTGCATCTCCAAAATCAATCCATCTTTCATCTTTATCCTTGTTAATTGGAATCCAAATATTTGGAATCCAAACTTCATCATTAGATAAAAGCTCATTTTTCTGTAAAGAGCTGTTTTTAGAACATGATATACCTTGGTGATGCAGCATAGGTTAGCTGGTGGCTGCATCAAATGATCACACAAATTATCATACCAAGCCACATAATGCCAATTGCAATTCAGTGCTTTCCCTACTGCAGAAATCCCAAGTAGATTAGGCTTAATTTGGTCAAAAGCCATAACTGATAGAACCTAGTATTTGATTTCTCTTTCCCATTAGAATCATCCTCAGCCATGTTGGTTTCTATAATTCAGATCTAAAATAAACTTCTTATTCCAACCAGAGCCCAAATTTGATTAAACTACCTTTGGGAACATTTTGTTTCATTTTCTGTTCTGTTCTATTCCTGAGCACATATAAATCGTACCGGTAAATCCATTCAAAAGTCTGATGATTGGCCCTTGAATGGAAATATGCAGAGAGGAAAAGGTGGAAGAACCAGAACAACCAAAATATCGAGATAGAGCTAAGGAGCGAAGAGAAGATCAGAATCCTGATTATGAGCCTTCCGAATTGGGATCTTTTCATGCAGTTGCTCCTCCAGGAAATGTGGACCTATTGTAAGTCCAGCATAGTTATTTGTATGTTCTATGTTATTCTGTACTATATGCAGCATGTCTTTAACGTCTAACAAGTATGCAAACATTAATTTGTTTCTTGTGTGGTTACTCATGCAGATCAGCTGAAGCCCAAAGGATATCCATTGAGAAGAGCAAGTATCTTGGAGGTATAGACGTATAGTTTATGATATGATTTTGTTACCGTTGTTATTGACAACTAACCTGGGTAGAAATTGTGGACGAAGGATTAATTGATCCTAATATAACATAAGTACTTGGCCTTACATGTTTGGGTTGGAGTAGTAATAATAATGCATAGCTGAATCATGTAGATGAATTCATTATTTCTTTTGATCTGTCTCTTACTGCTGGTTTTCTATAGGTATTCTTTTCTTTCAGCCTTGAATCATATATATATTATTGGAGCTAAGCTATCTTCATCCGAGGTTTAAAATTCATTAATAAGGCAAAGTGCAGCTCTTTTTCTGAGTAGAGGCTCATAATTACTCTCTCCTAATGACTATCCTATCTCTTTTCAGAAAAGGAAAATGGTGAAATAGGTGTAATTTCGATTGTTGCAAGAGATTTATTCTTTCACTGAACTATTTTCTAGTTCTTTTAGGCTTCTCTAGAATGTTCTACAGTTTTATACATGTTTTTGTGAGTATCCATCAGACCAACTATTCTATACGGTTCTGATTGTTGGCTGATAAAGAAGACACATGAGAAGTTGTAGAAATGGGATGTTGAGATGGACCCATGGAAACAGCCGCTCTATTACTTGGTTTGGAGAGGGCTGCATACACTCCTCGACCCACCTTCGGGTGGCATATACTAGGCTTCTTTGGTTTGGATTACCTCTCTACTCCTTTTGGTAGAGAATAGGTAATCATACATCCTCCTCCACTGACCCTAATTCCGGGTGGAATATACTGGGTACGTTTGCTTTGATTTGGATATAAGAGGTAAAACCTGGAATTTTTGAGCTTTGGGTGTATGCTATGCTTTTAAGCTATAGCCTTTAGGTCTTTCTCTTTAATCTTTTATACAAGTCATAATCCCACCCAAGCAGCTTATCTTCTTGCAGAGAACAGTCATATACTGTTCATCACATGAGCACAAAATCACGACACCATTACATCTTTGTCCATAGTCCTTTTTGGCATTGTTCAACCTTTTTCCATAATTATGGAGGTGAGGAGGTGACATTGCAAAATATGACCAACGCCTTAGCTATTTTTCAAGTGCAAGTAGTTCGTTTGCAGACGCATCTAGTTGATTTTATAACTTCATGGAATACAGATTAGAGTGATATTACTTAAGTAGAATCAAGAAGAGGAAAGTTTGTATGAAAGACACTCAATTTTCTAAAGAAGAACAAGGTCAAAGATGATAATTGAGGAGTGCAAAGGCAAGGGGCATTGAATAGGCTGAAATTCAATTTTTCTCAAGATGAAACGTTGATTTCGTGTTTCATAGCTGCTTTCTCGAGTGCTGAAAGGATTAGAAATTAGTGTTGCTCCCATTGTTATAAAACGTTTCTTATTCTCTGTCATTAGATGATTCGAGGTATAGTTTTCACCAATGGAAGGTGAACCAGGGAGTAAATAACATCAATGGAAATTTTAAGAAACTATTATTAACCTTTAGGATATTATGTAATATTATTTAGAGATAAATTTGTATTTCTTCAGTCAATAGGAATGATAGAGGATAATTAGGGCTAAGTATTACGCATGGCAAGTTTTCAAAATAGTTATTATCTTCATCATTAAGCCTTCTAGTCAGCATACTTATCATGAGAGCATCTATTATGCTTTCATTTGATTATTTCTTAGTTTTTAGGTCTATAACTAAAAAATGTTCTACATTCTTGTATATATTAATCTAATCCCTTGTGAAGAAATATACTGTTTTACTATTTGATTATTTTGTGTGCTTGGTTCTCATGGCAAGTCTTTTTACCCAAGGTTAAAGAATATTAAGAGATTACCTTGATTTCATAGCATGTCCAAATAATGAAGAGGAATGTGCTCCTATCACCTCAAAGAAAGTAGGCCTCTAATGTGGCCAATTTATTTCATTCATGTAACTGGTTTCATTGACCTTTTAAGCATAGATGCATATAACATTAAAAAAACCAAGCTAGTGACAGAAATAGAATAGTGTCACATGTAAGGAGCTTTTAGGAATTTATAAGAAATTGATCAGTAAATATCATGTAGCAACAATCTTGACAGCTTGCCTTTCGTACCATGTCCTCCGAAGGAACACCTTTTTACGTATTCTCAGTCTCACAAGGCTGCTTTCGTAAGCTTAAACCTTTGAAGGTGAACAAGTGCATAAGGAAAATTGAAATCCTTCACCAAAACAAATGATCAATTTAAAATGTCACTGTATATTGTCAGTTGCATGGAATGATAACTGGAATTTTCTAATCGACATGATAACAAGCAATACATGCAATCCATCTATAATGCTCGCAGACATGTACATAATAGTCTTCAACTTCTGTCGCATATGTTTTTTAGAGCCTGTATAGGCCGCAATAGATCTTTAAAAATATGTATAATTGTTGCTTGGATCTTCTTACATTGAAAATGGTGAAAATCATGAATACTTGAACCATGTTGTTGCGTCACTTCAATTTATGAGTATCCTTTTTTTCTTCTCTTGCTTATCATTACAAACATGAAAAATCAAATTCGACAATGATGTTAGTAAGAGGCGTCTTTAGCGAGTCAATGTTTGTTTAGCACGTTCACACAACTTGGTAATGTGAGTTATATTTTTCTTCGTGAGCATGTGACTGCAATCTTTAGACAAGTGGTTAAAGGAAAGGGAAAAAGATATGAAATTCTTCAATAGCAAGGGCACATTTCTCATAATCCAGATTCTATCCCCTTGTCATTTTATATGAGCACTTTAGGGTTTTTTTTTTCTTTTTATCTTATGTGAACTAGTTTCACTACTAATACTCACAGGTCCATGAAATGAGATCTGGTAATTCACCCTTCAACCTTACGTCATCATTACTGACTGAGCTTTAACATCAGTATGCCTACCATATAAATTTTAAGCCCAAATTAAGTCCCTCCAACCATATGTTACCTTGGTAACATGCATCCATGGCATCAGAACCTTGATGATTGGTGTGTCATCAATAATCTTTACTACTTCGTCAAATGATTTCAATCATCGTGTAATTGACTGAGTTGCAAGCTTGTAACCGTACTTATATTAAGAGGCTGGTTGTTTTCTATTGACTTGTTGGATTATGTGTTGAGCTTGGGTTTACTTGGCTCTGAGAATTTGGAACAAGAGTAACACATAATATGATGAAAGCATCTTAATGGCTAATAAAGACTATCCAACACATATGAGATCTTTTGTGATGATGTTTCTTGAATACAATTTTCCTCAACATTAGTATGATCTTATCTAATTGGTTGCTCATGAGTACTAACTTAGAAGGAACAAAGTCACAAACATCTGTGGGCATAAAAAAATATTGTGATAGCCCCCTTTAGCTACTGCGGACCAACTTCAATTTAAATCTATAACAGGTGAAACCTCTATCCTCTTTCCCAATCATCTGGTTACTAGCTGCAACCCAGCTGAGGAAAGGCCGCAAGTGGCAACACCATCATGAGTCATAAGGGATGAAGATTATTGACACAATCACACAACCATCTATCTTGCATGCCTCAGAATAGGCTGAAGTAGTCAACTCTGATTAATTCCCTTGTAATAGATGTGAAATAGAAAGAAAGATGGATGTAAGCTATTCTTCAGATAATGGCCTTTTGTTAGCCATTGTGCATTAGTTTAGAGATCGTTTTGCTTTTGTTGATAAACTACTGTAAACCTGATTGGTTTTAGGATAATTGGAAGAGGGAAGACACTGTTTTTAGCTGTGTTTTTTTTTCTTTTTTCTTTTATCTATTTAACCTTGTGAGCTTGACATAAATGACACAGGTGATGTTGAACACACACACTTGGTTAAAGGATTGGACTATGCTTTGCTACACAAGGTGAGAAGTGAAATAGACAAGAAGCCAGATATTGAAGATGCTAGTGATGGCAAGCCTAGGTAAGCATGTTTGAACTTTGGAGTGAACACTTCTAAGTGAAGCACATGATTTGCCATGTGTATGTAACAACATTATTTGATTTATGCACTTCTATTTTATTGATAAATAGAGGATCCAAGGAAGACCATCCAGTATCATTTCGCACTGGAAATGCAAAGGTAAGAGTTCAAACTCTAGAGTATTAGACAGGGATACTATGTATCACCTTTGTTGGCAAGAGATATAAAGAAATTCTTTGATAGGTACTGTACATAGTGAGAAAATAATTAAAAAAATGCAGTTTCACGAATTTCAGAGTTCACCTTGTAACAAAAATGTTAAATCCTTTTTTAATAGAAAATGACGATAATTGACAAAGTTGAATATTTATATTATTTTTTGTTTTGAATTTTGTTGTCTCGTCATCTTATTGTTATAGAGGTAGAGGATGAATTGGAAGGATACAGTCCTAACAGAATGATCTATTTTCTATAACTGATGGGGCCAACAAACAATAATAACAAATAATTCTTTCTAAAACAATCTTAATAATAACTAAAATAAAGAAAAGGATCTTCTGTTATTTAAAACGTCTACTGTAAGTCCCTGAAATAAGTGCGTTGCTCTTACAATAGAACTTCATTTCTGTTACAGGCTGTGTATCAGTGGATAGTGAAGCCTCAAACTGTTGTCAAGCCAAATGATATGTTTCTTCCTGGGCGAATGGCTTTCATTTTTGACATGGTAACTTCTTTTCTCTTTTCTTATGTTTGCTTTTCCATAGTTGCATCCTGACTCTAGTGGCCTTTTATGCAAGTATAGGGAATTTTTATCTCTTTAACCATATGCTGCATATTTTTATCAGAACTATCCAGCATTGATTCTTTTTCTATTATATATGCAATTGCACTTTGGTTATACCAAGGAGAGGTTGGTAAAGATTGAATTGGGGGAAATATTGAAGGAATGAAAGGAGATTTGCATCAGCGATGCATATGAGCTGGCTTAAAGAGGAGTGTGTGGAAAGACGCCATTCATGGCATGGGGCCCAAGGCTATTTACCTATATATGTCTGCTTTTGGGTTCCAACATTAGTAATATCTTTTGGTTTTGTTTTTAGCCTAACCAGTTTGGGATAACTGGCTTCTTGTTGCTCTATATGCAATTGCAGGTTGGTGTTCGCTTATAGGTTGTGATCTTTGTTACTTGTGAAGTCATGACAGTTCCCTTGAATGTGTATAATGTTTGATATCTTACATTGTCTAAACTATACCTTGGAGGGGCGACACCCTGTCTCATTAGTTGTCCTTAAACATTGGACCTTCTTCAGGGGCGTATGTGAAAGGCAGGCAGTTTTAAGCCTAACATGAACACTGCTTATGTATGACAGGAGAGTGGGTTTTCTCATGATATTCCAACCACTATCCACAGAAGTAAAGCTGACTGCCCAGAGCCAGAGGTCTGTTGTAGTTCAGTTATTTTGTGGTTCTATGCAAGTCATCCTTTATTCCTCAACTATGATTATTTGCAGGAAATGGTTACTGTTAATGTCGATAGCTCTGTGCTTGATCGAATTGGTAAAATTATGTCTTACCTTCGGCTTGGATCATCTGGGAAGATTCTTAAGAAGAAGAAGAAAGAGAAGGATGGTAAAGGTATTTCATTGCTTTTACCTGTTTGTGTCACCAGCTATGTAAATTTTGCCTTCTTTAATTTGTGATTTTCCAAAAAGTGTCATATAATGCACTTGAAAAGTAGGTTTGCACAATATGAATTTTCTGTTATTGATATTATGATTTTATAGTACAAATATATCCACTGCATCACCAATTTAAAGAGAGAATATTTCCTAGGCTGTACCTGCCTAAAATACAGAGTTGTATCAAAGATAACGATGACCAAAAAAAATACACACAACTACTATACAACACATTTTTTACTGATTTTCCATCATTCCCCCTCAAGCTGGCTTGAAAATTTATTCATACGCAGCTTGCCAACTGAAACTGGATAGGCCAAGGAGGACGTGGGAGGAGCAACTCATGATGGCTTTACACATTTCAGAAGCATGACCTTGAATAGGTGTTTGTTGAGACGCAGGACTAGGGTAGCAGATTGTGTTATGGACTTGTGGTTTCTTGGGGCAGGGAAGGTGATGGAGGTAAAGGTGGGCGGGAAGTAGCAAACCCCAACAATCTTTAGTTAGTTTAGTAATTTCTACTTTCTTATATGCATTTTCCCTTCATGCTTTACTATTTGTTTGATAGCTTTTTCTTCAACTCTTCTAAACTCCATTTCTTTCTTTCTATTTCGTATCTCTTTCCTTTCTGTCAAACTTTCAGAACATCTTTTTTTCACAATCATTTTCTTAAAACCTTTTTACAAACTGGGGTCTTCACTAAAACGGCCTCTCTATTCCTTGGGGTAGAGGTAAGGTCTGCATACATCTACCCTCCCAGGACAGGATTTACTGTGGTTATTTGGTTTGGTTTACCCGGCTTGGCAACTAGAAAGACAAACATTTTTGTTTTTTAATGTGTACTATAACTTGTATGTTTTAATCACACCGGCAAACTACAAAGCACATGATATGCGGCTATACTATTTTCCATCTAATTCAAGTATTCGACCTTAATATTTCAACAACATTCTCATTATCTCCTAATATTTGACCCTAAATAATGAGCGTAATCTCGGGTTTTTTATGTTACTAATTTCTTCAAGCCTTTTATTACGCATGCCTTGCTATGTTGAACTGTATACTATACGTTAAGATGTAGGATATGCTTATATCTGTATCTATTGTCTTCAAAGTTTCTCTAGGCCTTTATATTTTGGTCGCTTAGATAATCTTGGCTTTTGGTACTCTATCTGGTCTCACTTTAATTGATAATGCATGCCTTCTTTTTTACCTAATTTTCCTTACATGGCATCAAAGCTTAGATATGAGGACCAAAAGCCTAGCCCTCACCATAGATGGCTGCTAACGGCTTAGCTTTGCCAGACAGCCACCGCTAAAAAAGCAATGTCACCTTGGCTGCTGTTTCTGGCAGCATTGTCTCCCATAATTAGCAAGTTGATCCTGTTGGTTAATGATGTTCATCATCTTCATTCGAAGGAAGCATGTAACTCCATTGGCAAGTCTGTCAATTAATGTTCTTATCAATTAGGTATAATAACATGTTCTGCCTCTTGGTTTCATCGGTTAGGAGGCTTTTAGTTTTTTTTTCTGTTGCCAGTCTCTGAGTAGGCATTTCATGTGCAGTTTTTTAAGCTCTAGATAATTTGGGATAATACATGGTGCTTTTGGCTACCTGATGCCTTTCTGACAAATATCTATTGCATTATATATTGATGAGTGTGCTTACTATGAATAAGAAGTTCTCAATTGAAACGGAGTGAGTTTTAGAAAGCGGACTTTAGAAACCTCAAGTACTGGTTCATAGATGTTTGTTGTGGCAAGACCCTACAAGGCCATCTTCCTCTAACAAATGATTATTTCCTTAATATATTGAGTGAGGTTTGTATGCTTGCTAGTCAGATGGTAGATTTTCTGATGATTGTGAGATGATGTGAGTTTGGTACAACTTTGTGAGTTGGCATTAGTACATTGTTGGTAATAGAAGATGGTGATTCTACTCGTTCGATGGAGAGATATCATGATGATGAGGCAGCTTGCACATCTCCAAGAATCAAATATTTCATTTCCATTGCGAATACACATGGTTTTCTTCATGAGAAGGTGGTTGGTATTTCTTGCCAACCTCTTCATGAGCGTGTATTGTGGAGTAGGTAGTAGACAGTTTGACATACCCCCTCTGTTCGATTCTGATTACTCCTGTATGTAGCAAGCTGTGAATGTTTTACATTGTACAGTCCAACTTGAGGGGTGTTTTGTTAGAGATATTTATATTTATGTTTGACAGATTGCTACCTCTTGGGTTCTTTTTTTGGCTTGTTAGTCTGTTTTGTATACACACCCACACTTGTTTAACCTATTATGTTGCATCGGTAACAATTTTATGCTAGATCCTTTGTTTGAACCTTTCTCATTGGTATACATCTCCTATTTATTTCTTGTATGCTATTCTTGAATATCTTATGTGTTGGTATATATATTAACTTTTCTTTTGATTACACAGGAAAACTCTCAGCTGTTCCTGGTGATTATGATCTTGAGAAATATTCAAAACCTGATGCCTCAAAACATCATACTGAAAGAGAGTTTCTCCCACCACCTCCACCACCTCCTAAAAAGATTCATACTGATGCAAAAGAGAAATTGGGTCCAGCAGTTGCTCGCATTGAGGAGGATGATATTTTTGTAGGAGAAGGAACCGACTATGTCATCCCTAGTAAAGATATGAGCCAGAGCCCTCTTTCAGAAGACATGGAAGAATCTCCGCGGAGAAAGGATAGAGCTTCCTATTTTAGTGAACCTACTTATGGTCCTGTTCCACCCTCTCAGCCATCTCATGACTGGCAACAAACGGTAATATATTATAACCATTCCTGAAAGCATATATATCGTCTTTTCTGTAACTTGGAAAAGATGTGTGGAAAGCTTCTTTAACAAGTTAGAAATTATTTGCAGAATGGCTATGATGCTATGCAAGCGCATGCCATGGCTGCTGGTTATCAAGGCGAGTGGCAGGAATATCAATATGCGGAGCAACTAGCAGCTTATCCTGAACAATATCTCCAGCAAGACACCGAAACATATGAGATGCAAGCAGGTGAAGCAGACCCACACTTAATGACCCAAGAAGAGAAAGATCGGGGTCTGGGGTCAGTGTTCAAGCGGGATGATGTGAGGCTTCAACAACTAAGGGAAAAAGATGCCCGTGAGAAAGATCCAAACTTCATATCGGAGAGTTATTCAGAATGCTATCCAGGCTATCAAGAATATAATCGTGAGGTTGTGGATAGCGATGATGAAGATGATTTATCTAAAATGGATATGGGTGGACGCGTACGTGATTCTTCTTCCTACTCCTTCCTTGTATAGTGGTCTATATCTAATACTAACATGAATTTGTGGTACAAATACAGGCAAAGGGGAGGCTTCATAGGTGGGACTTTGAGACAGAAGAGGAATGGGCAACATACAACGAGCAGAAGGAAGCAATGCCGAAAGCTGCATTTCAGTTTGGTGTGAAGATGCAAGATGGTCGGAAGACGAGAAAGCAGAATAAAGACCAGAAGATTACTAACGAGCTGCATAAGATTAATAAGATACTCGCCAAGAAGAAGATGCAAAAAGGCGAAACAAATGATGGTAGCGGTGGTGAAGAATCTCCTCATCCTGGAAAGAAGCTTAGGGTCTAATCCAAACCATTAAATAAATTGTTATACTTGCTGCATGCCTGCTTATCATGTTATCGTTTTCATACCACCTAGCTATTTGGAAACGGAAAAATTGGATTTGGTTGTGTTATATTAGTGATTAATGCATGGTATGGAACTAATTTTCTTAAAAATTAGAAACACCAAAATCTCTGGTCACCATCACCACACCACCACCACCACTGTCAACCCCCATACCAACAACACCATTGGATTTTTTAGAGGAACAACACCATTGTCAAGCATGGGAATTATTGAAAAACCAATTTTATTTTCAAATCAAGCAAAAAAAAGAAAAGAAAATCACATGTGCAAATCAATGAATTGAAGGGATGGATGTTTTCCTTATTTAAATATGATGTCTAGATTACATTAATTATACCCAATCATCGTAAGGAAATGATGTAGAATCCAGCCACTCTTGGCCGGTGATGAATTCTGATACTGTGAAATTAGTAGCTTCATAATAATCCATGACGTGGTGGCCAGGCCAGGTAACTCTACCGTCAACCGTGGAACCAGGTCCAATGTTCCCAAACTCCCCGTAGTATAAGGTATCCAAACCTTGATCCCCGGACCAATGGATCCACCCCATGGGGTCAATTAAGTCATCAATATATGATTCGATGAAGACGGTGCGAGAGTACGGCCTCCATGGCCTCCCAAGATAGCTTCTGACAGCTCTAGTTGACCGCAGGTCCTCAGTAGCCAAAATAGAACAATTCTGAAACGAAATTCCTGTTTGTTGGTCGGGAGAGTCCCTGGATTGGGCGGCAATCACGGTGAATTGGCCAGGCATGGGCATTCTGGATATGATGTTACATCCCTGAAACACAACGGCTGCATTACCGAATATGTAATCTATGGTTCCATAAATGTCGCATTCTCTGTAGAATTGCCTGAAGGAGTGGACATACAACGAGTCTTGATAACTGCTTATAACGCATCTGAAGACTGCTGCAAAGTCCGCATTGATACGAAGAGCTACTGCCTGGTGCTTCTCTGGTCCTGCTACGTTATGGAACCCAATGTCACGTGCCAAGAATCCTTCTCCTGACACGGCTGATCATCATCAACCATTCGATATTAATATATATATATATATACACATATATTATAACCAACTAGCTACTTTCTATAAGTATATTTATAACTAAGAAAATAAATATATGCTTAATTACCAACAGTGGCAGATCTGAAAGTAGTCCAACCATCAATCACGCTTCTATTACCACTGATTATAGTGATATCACGTCCTTCTCCAAGCAAAACGATGTTGGGTTTGTAACTAGGAATCTCTACGTTTTCTTCATACAAGCCTTGTTTAATGTAGATAATGATCCTGTCAACACTATTGTTTGGAGCAAAATTTATGGCATTGGTGATGGTGGTGAAGTTGCCACTACCATCGGTGGCCACGACTAGTGTACTGCTGTAGTCGTCATCGTCATAATCAGTCTCATTCTGACTACCGATGAGGAAATCTTTCCTTGATAACCACTTGGGAAGAGGGTTGTCAGCAGAGAGAAGGGAAAGAGAATTGCTAACATGCTTGTAAGCCGTGGTTATGGTGTCCACTAAGAGTGGTTTTAGAGGACCCGATGCAGATTCTAGGCCTTCAAGACAAGTATTCTTGTTGGTGAGGGCTGCTCCGAGGAAAGCCCTGGCATCTGGTAAGTTATTGGTGGTGAGTGACTTGTTCAAGGAAGAAAGAGTTATCTGGTGGAGTTCGTTGCAGTCCTGAATAGATCCCTTTTGTTTCTCAATGATATCATCATCATCAGTATCTGACAATAAAGTTAGTAGCTTTACAGCTTCAGATATGGCGACTTGGAGAGATTGGTGGAGGATAATATTGGTATTGATGTTTATGGAGACTGAGAGCTTTAGTGAGTGGAAGCAAACATCTGGGTATGGCATAGATTTGCAGATTAGGGAAAGGGAGGTGGAGGTGGATGTGGATGTGGATGAGAGAGCCTGAACCTGACTATTTGTTAATATTAACACTAGTATTAGGAACAAGTGAAATGGGATTTGTTTGGAGAAAGACATCAGAATTAGTCAATTGCATAAATCTTCTGAATTTAAACATCCATACAAACACCAAAATACCAAATCTGAATTTATACATACATAAAGAAACATAAGTAAAGTTAAAATTAAAATTAAAATTATTTTACTATGCCTTGGGAAAAAGGGATGAAAAAGGACAATTAAGGTCACATGTCTTGCCTTGGAACTTTTTTTGCATTCATGTGCTTAATTCATGGGACCTGCAGATAGAAAAAGTTACAAATTTCCATTTCCATTTCTATTTATTCTAAGGCATAAAAGCCAAACTTTTCTTCACGGGAAAGGACACCCACCGACTGCATAATACGCCATTTGCAATGAAAAATAAGATTAAACAAGGGCATATGTTGAGATACAACCTCGTATAAAGACTTGATTACATTTTTCGTCCATGTGGTTTCATGAAATTTACCAAGGTTCATTTCCATGTCTGAACCAAATAGGCCTTAAGATTAGAGTCATAGAATTTTATTCTAGATTTATCCTCCATATTTACAGGAAAAAAAAACTTCAGCGACATTCTTGATGAAGTGTCTCTCTTTCTCCCCATCCTTTACCGTAACCTCCCCTCCCCCAGACATACAACTCCTCCAGGCCTCCTTCCACATGACCACATCCTTCTCTGGTGAAACATCTCCGAACCCCAAAACTCCGTTCTAGAGCGATAGCAAGGCCGCTTCTCTTGGTGTTTGGGATGGGGTTCAAATCTTGTTTTTTGTGCCCGTTAGAAAACCAAAGGATATGCAGAGCTTACAAAACATATATGGAAGATCAAGAAAACATTATAAAACAAGAATACATATAGTAAAGTTTCATTTTTACTGAAAGAAAGAGGATGTGTTTTTGCAGGAGTTACTATTATCAGTAATGAATAGATCATTCAAGATTAATACTTTATTCAACCCAAAAGTACAAAAATAAATTACACATATATGATATATGTAATAATAAAAGAAAAAGTGTGGAGAATGTTAGAATCCATGTTCGTGTAGATGATTATAAAACTAGACAATTTCAACAATAGTGTAAGTGGAACACTTTTCAAATACAATAATTCGATCCTATTAACCTTGGGTTTATTTTTTTATTGGGATAATTCTTGAGTTTTCTCTCTGAAAACAAAGGCTCTAAAATTGAGAACGTAAATGCGCATATTCTCGTTTTTACATATTTATATGAGAGATCGATAGTTGCGAGTGGTTGAGCGGTTATAACTATTAATGGATAAGAATAAGGAGCTTTTACAACCGAATTAGATTTATGGACTAAGTCTCGACGTAAATCTGGACTCACAGTCCAGATCTCTGGATCAACTTGTTCAAAATTAAGACTTGGAAAATTATCTAAGTCTGGAAAAATCTTAACTCTTGAACCACTAGTTCAGAGTTAAGACTTAGTAAATTTTCTAAGTCTGGAAAATCTTAACTCTTGAACCTTTAGTTCAGAGTTAAGACTTAGTAAATTTTCTAAGTCTGGAAAATCTTAACTCTTGAACCACTAGTTTAGAGTCAAGACTTGGTTTATTTTTTCTAAGTCTGAAAATCTTAACTCTTGAACCACTACTTAAGAGTTATCACTTAGTTAATTTCCCATAAAACAACTATGGACCTAACTCTTAAGAGTTCTAGACTTAGTTTCTTCTAGCGATTAATACTAACTCTAGACACAAAACATCTTAACTCTTAAGAGTTCCAGACTTAGTTTTTCCAGTGATAAACACTAACATTTGTGAATGTGCCCTCTGCACCTCCCAATTCACTTATATTTGTCTTATCCCTTTAATCGATCTCAAGTGAATCACAATCATACCAAATGATTGATGACACTAGAATCACCAATATTCCTCCCCCATTTTAGTGTAATCTTTTGATTCACTATACAAAGCATGAATATATAAAATCAAACAAATGCATAAATGAAAATATCACGAAGATTGAATTTCCATATTAGTATATTACACATTTCAAATATTTGAGAATCGGGGTGTTCTAAGAATTGGACCCATCAACCCATTTGAATACATGAAGATAATATACGCACAAGTTCGTACAAAATCTAGATAAATCACTTGACACATTTGTAGAGGCCTTGCGTCCTTATCCAGTCATGAACATATAGAAAGCCAAGTCTAAAACTTTCTTGAAGTGGCCACACTTTACGTTCACATAGGTGATCCTTTTAAGTCTTGCACATGCATATGCAATTTTTCAAAAGAATCATTAAGAAAGAATTTTCAGCCTTTCAACACTTGCAGGTCTAAGCATATACCTTGGGATGTAATCATCATATGCTTCAATTTCTATTAACAATCCTTCCACATTGAATTTAGCCTTTAACATTGTATTAAAGGAGAATTGGGTGTCTCGTTATTAGAAATTTATAAAGACTTTAAACCCATCTCGATCACAGATGTGTGCACTAAGTCCCTAGCTAACCCTTTTGTTAAATGGTCGGCTAAATTATTGTAAGTTCTAATGAACTCTACGGTTATCACCCCATGCATGATTAACTCTCTGACCATGCTATATCTTATTCCCAAGTGCCTCGACGTTCCATTGTGTATTTGGCTATATGCCTTAGCCAAGGTTGCCGCACTATCACAATGTATACATATTGGTGATATCAGTTTCGGCCATAAAGGAATCTCATAAGTTAGATTCCTTAGCCACTTCGCCTCTTTATTGGCGGTCGCCAAGGATATAAACTCATATTTCATAGTAGAATTTGTGATACAAGTTTGCTTTTTGGAGCCCCAAGAAATGGCACCTTCACCGAGCAAGAATGCCCATCCAGTAGTAGAATAATGATCTTCTATATTGGATATCCAACTCACATCGGTGTAGCCTTAAATCATCGAAGGAAACCCAATATATGTTATACAATAATTCATGGTTCCCTTCAAGCATTTGAACACTCGTCTTACCGCTTGCCAATGATGAGCACTCGGTCTACTAGTAAAGCGACTCAACCTACCAACAACATATGCAATATTCGGTCGTGTGCTTGTCATGGTATACATCAAGCACTGAAATGCATTAGAGTATTGTAATAATGAAACAACTTCACGTTGGGCATAAGCTTTTCACTTGGATCCATTGGAGTACTCATGGGTGAACAATTTAACATATTAAACTTCTTTAAGACTTTCTCGACATAGTGATATTGTGTTATGGCCAAACCTTTGTTCTCTTGTTTAATCCTTGTCACAAAGATCACCTCGGCCTCCCCTAAATCATTCATTGAGAATTTTGATGACAAAAGTTCTTTTGTCAAGTCGACTTGTCTTTGGTCCATGCTAAAGATTAGCATATCATCAACATATAGATAAATTATGACTCCCTTTCCGGAATCATCAAATTTGCTATATACACCGTTGATCCTCTCTCTCAGTGATTTGATGATAATCCCTTTTACCTTATACGAAGTATTTATGATTCTATCTTTCAGTTCTAGCGATCACACTGACTCTGTTCAGTGATCACTGAGAACATGTAATGTAAATCCATCAGCAACGTCGATACTTCAAGAAGACAAAACTCACACCAAAGAACCTTCATCTAAAGTCGAAGACTGAAACTGAAGATTAGAGACTGGAGAGTTCGTGATCTGAAGTGGTATTCAGTGATTACAACCAGGTCTACACATGTGTGAAGACTGCTCATGCCTCAACGAATGCTAAAGAGACCTTCAGGTTATTCCATCATTTAGCGATCAAAAGAAGCTTGTTAAGCATGATTGTTTTTGTCTTGTCCTTATACACACAAATGACAAACCCATACCCTTTCTAATGGCTTTACAAATTACAAACACACACACAAAAGATAATGGCTCTCTTGCCAAACCTCGCCGGTTTGTCCGTGACAACTTTAGTCTCTGGAAGAACCGGATGTCCCTATTTCTGGAAGGTGTGGATCCTGAAATTTCACATTACATAGAAAATGGACCATATATTTCATTTGCTATTGTTCCGGCTGTTCCAGCAACAGCTACGACTGCCGCGATTCTTGAACGGGAGATTCCAAAGCTTCCACATCAGTGAAGCGATGAGGACAAGAAGAAAATAGCTATAGACACGTGTGCTCGGTCTATAATAGCTATGTCTCTTCCTGATGAGATCTATCACTCAGTGATGAAATTCAAAACTTCTAAATCCGTATGGGATACTCTTTGTGTCCAATATGAAGGAACCACTCAGGTTCAGGAGACTAGAAAGATCAATCTAGTAAGACAGTAC